TTCTCTGGGACATTTAATCCAGGTAGAATATCCCTGGGCAACTCATATCTGTATGTCTGCCAGATGTTGCCTTTGCTGTCATTTTACAACATTGTATAAAACATCTTAACTAGAATAACTTGGTCTTCAGTTCAACTGAGTGATATACTTACTGTATGTCAGCTTTGATTTTTCTGTTGATTTGATATTTTTTTTAATTGATTAATTTTTTTGTTTTGTTTTTTTGAGACAGGGTTTCTCTGTGTAGCTTTGGAGTCTGTCCTGGAACTCATCTGTAGACCAGGCTGGCCTTGAACTCACAGAGATCACCTGGCTCTGCCTCCCGAATACTGGAATCAAAGGCGTGCAACCACGCCTGGCTGATTTAATATATTCTTTTTTTTTTTTTTCCTGGTTTTTCGAGACAGGGTTTCTCTGTGTAGCTTTGGTGCCTGTCCTGGATCTCGCTCTGTAGACTAGGCTGGCCTCAAACTCACAGAGATCCGCCTGGCTCTGCCTCCCAAGTGTTAGAACTAAAGGCGTGCACCACGTGCACCACGTGCACCACCACCACCACCACCACCACTACCACCCGGCATTGATATATTCTTTTAAAAATTTTTAAAAATTTTATTCTATGTGTGTGGGTGTTTGCATGCATGTATGTCTGTATACCATGTGTGTCCTTGGTGCCTGAACAGGCCAGAAGAGGGCCTCCTCTTCGGATCCCCTGGAACTGGAATTACACACAGTTGTGAGCCCCCAGGTGGGTGCTGGGGACATAATCTGGACCCTCTATTTGAGCAGCTCGTGCTTTTAACTGCTGAGCCATCTTTCCAGCCCCAATTTAATAAATTCTTAACTCTGAGGCAAGAACCTTTGTAATATAACCCCTCTTCGATTCTAAATGCACTTGAGAATATAGCAATATAGTAGTCATTCATTTTCCCTAGACAGTATTCAAAGATCTAGGTATGCTGAGTCTGTCCTGGCACTAGGTATTCATGCTGAAAAGAGTTGTTGTGAATAGAATTCTGACTCTGTTCTTCATATCAGTTGAAATGAACAGGGAAATTTCATTTGTTCATCTGTTAATGCATTTTTAGTAATGAAAATTATGAACTTTGTAAAGAAAATGATTAAAATACCAACACAAATATATTTATCCACAAAAATAGTTTATTATGCTTAAAGTTAGAACTGACTGCACATACTACTTAGTTATAATTGATAATGCTTTTCCAAAGGTTTGCCTCTTTTTCTGCCTATTATTTCTAGTGTTAACAGAAGAAAAAAGTTAAAACATTTTTATGTATCTTTGTGTGTGATGTGGGTGGGTATGTTTGCGTGTGGTGTTTGTGTGTGTGTGTATACATGTATGTAGAGGCTGAGGGTGACATCAGGGGTCTTCTTCCCTCAGTTGAAGTCAGAGCTCACTGCTAGTCTAGTTAGCCCAACTGTCTCCTGTGATCCCTTACCTCTCTCTGCCTTCCCAGCTCTGGAATTACAGGCAGGCTGCCAGGTCCACCTGGTGTTTACTTGACTTCCAGTTTTCACTTACGTGGGATAAGCAGTTTATCCACTGAGCTATCTCTCAGCCTTAAGACATTTTATTTTTAATTTTTTCTGAAGCCAGGCACTTTTAGTCCCAGCACTTGGGAGGCAGAAGCAGGTGCCTCTCGGTGAGTTCAAGGACTACCTAGCAAGTTCCTGGACATTCAGGGCTGCATAGTGAGACCCTGCCTCATCGCCCCTCCCCTCCAAATAGGTATTTTTTTATATGATATTATTTTTTGTTGTTGTTTCTTTTATATGTTAGTGTTTTGCCTTCATGTATGTGTGTGTACCACAGATGTGCTTTGGTGCTTGCAGAGGTCAGAAGGTGTCAGATCCCCTGTAACTGGAGTTACAGATGGTTGTGAATCACCATGTGGGTGCTGAGAACTGAACCTGGGTCCTCTGCAAGAGCAACAAGGGCACTTAACCACTGAGCCCCTCTAAAACATTTTTAATTTGACTTTTTCCTTGTGAATTACCAGCCACACACTTATCATTTCCTGTTTTCTAGTATCAAGGCTCAGAGAAGAATGGTCCTGCTGCATGTCCCAGGCTTGTACAGCTTCGGTTTTTTCAGAGAAACTCCATTGCAAACAGTAGTTACCAGGTTAAGGGCAACTTGTTTTTAGTCATATTTTATTTCTTTTTCAAAAAATTGTTTGTTTTTGAGATTGTATTTTAATCACAGCATTTCTTCTCCAAATCCTCTCATATATTCCTCCCTGCTCTCCTTCCAATTTGTGGCCCCTTTTTTCATCAGTTGTTATTGCAGGCATGTATGTATTTGTAGATACATACATATTCCTAAAAACAACCTGTCGAGTGTGTATAGTTTTACCTGTATGTTTGTATGTGTGTATGTTTGTTTGTTTGTTTTCAGGGCTGACCATTTGGCACAGGCCTACCAATTGGGGTGTTCTTCCCTGGGAAGGATTACCTCTCCTCCCAGCTTTACTCAGTTGTAAGGGCAGCTCTTGAGTCCTCACAGGGATCCACCTCTGCCTTCTGGGTGCTGGGGATTGAAGGTGTGTACCACCATGGCTTTTCATTTTGATACAGGTCTGACAGAATAGCCCCAGCTGGCTGGCTTGAGTTTAGGATGCTCTCCTCAACCTCTTGTGATGATAGGATTATTGGCCTCTGCTGTCAGGCCTGGCATATCTTCTTACTGTGAAAGCCTGTTTGCTGGGATATGCCATAGGGGAAAATATCTTCCCAAGTTTTGACTTAGAGCAAATTGGGATGCAGTTCCCTATGCAGTGATTTCATTTTATCTCCAGATGAAACAGCTGATTGGTTTCAGATGAAACAGGTGAATGGCACTCTTACTTCTGCATTAAAATAGCTTAGATGCTGGGCTCTCCTGGGTGGGAGACCAAGATAGAAGCTGTTCTGACCCTCAGGGAACTAGCCAGTAAGTGACGGTGACTGGCAGGTAACTTTGAGAGGTTTTGTATTTCTCTTGAATTAATCTTTAAAACATTAATACTGCTTAAGTGGTTGTTACAAAAAGTAACTAGTTAAAAAACACTAGTATTTCAGGAATACAGGTTTGGATGTGTTAAATAATGAAAATTCCATATCCGCTAATAAGTACATGTCTGCTGAGTATTGGAAGTCCAGACTGAGTATTAGTTTAGAAAATACAGTTTTGGAATAGGTAATACTTAGTTTAAAAAACAAAAAACAAACAAACAAAAAAGTTTTAAAAGACATGGACACGGTGTTTACCTTGTGCGGCCACCAGAGTCCCTTTGACATTTCCAGGTATCTGTAGCATGAATCTTAAAGAGCTCTTATATTAAAATCAAACCTGATGCCAGTTATTGGGGTGAAATGCTGGAAGGTCAGAGAGACAGAACAAGCCACAGCTCACCTCACCTGGCCAACTTCTCAGGTGGTCTTGTTTCCTCAGACTGGAAGCTTCTGTGTTCTCATCCCAATGGCTCCCAGCTGAACTGCTGCTAGAAGCCTGAAAGCTTAACCAGCCAAAAGCTTCTAGTTTCTGGTCTCCATGCCTTATATACCCTTCTGCTTTCTACCACCACTCCCTGGGATTAAAGGCTCGCTTTCTGGGATTAAAGGCGTATGTCACCATGCCTGGCCGTTTCCAATGTGGCTTTGAACTCACAGAGATCCAGAGGGATTTCTACCTCTGCTAGGATTAAAGGTGTGAGTGCCACCATTTTCTAGCCTTTGTATCTAGTGCCTGTCTGTTCTTTGACCCCAGATAAATTTATTAGGGTACACAATATTTTGGGGAATACAATACCACCACAGGTATCTACTTTTTGTTTGTCTGTCTGTTTTGAGACAGGGCCTCTCTGCAGCCCTGGATGCCCTGGAACTCACTGTGTAGGCCAGACTGGACTAGAATTCAGAGATCCTGCCTGCTTCTGCCTCCCAAGTGCTGGGATAGAAAGTGTGCATCATTATTCCTGACAGGTGCCAAGTTTTTAAAAATTTATTAGTTTGTGTATGTGTATACATGGGTATGCAAGCCTCCCCAAAGCATGTGTGGAGGGAAGTCAGAGGACACCTTTTGGAAGTTGGTTCTCTTCATAGGTTCCAGGGATCAAAATCAGGTTGTCAGGCTTTCTCCTACTGAGCCATCTCCCCAGTGCCAAGTATTTGTAGCCCATCGTGTGTAATAGCAGTAGCTGTCAAGATAAGTACTCTCACTATTCTGTTTACAAGTATGGATGCAACGATATCTCAGTTTCTTTGTAACTTATAATTGTAGAATGTACTTCCCCTGTCCTACCTACTTACTTATTCTTTTTTTTTTTTTTTCACTCAAAAGCAGTTTTAAACATACAGAGAAGTTGCAAGAATAACCATTCAGGAAGCTGAGGCAGGAGGAATTCATGCATATGCACACACATACACAAGAGAAAAGTTTTTTAAAAAAAGAAAAGAAAGAAATAGAATGGGCAAGGGACGTAGCTCAGCTGGGAGAGAGTGCTTGCCTAGCATGAGTGAAGCCCTGTGTTCAATCCTCTTCCCTCTGTCTGCCTGTAGTGGCCTCCTACAATCCCAGGAAACAGGGAGAGCTGCTCTTTAAGGTCATCCAGGGCTATATATTGAGTTCCAGGTCAACCAAACTACATGAGGCCCCATCTGAACAAAGGAGTCAGGATGAAGGAGGAGGAAGAGGAAGAAGAAAGAAAAATGTAAAAAACAGAATAAAGAATTCCAGAAATTCTGGAGTTCCCACTTGTGGTTTTCATTGTTGTTGTTTTTGTTGCAGTTTTAATGTTGACGGAGAAAATCGATTATTACCCACACTGTACATTTGGGGCCAGACTATTGTAGAAAACGGTGCTGTGTTCTTCCTGATGCCCTCACAGGAGATACACAGTTTGTTCCATTAAAGGAGAAGGGGGAGGGAAGAAGCGGGTGGAAAGAAAAAGTATTTTGCTTTTCAGAGAGCGCTCTATTTAGCAAATGCCATTTCCTTCCAGCATCCTGGTGGGGAAGAGGTTCTGCTGGAACAAGCTGGTGCTGATGCAACGGAAAGCTTTGAAGATGTTGGCCACTCCCCTGATGCCAGGGAAATGCTAAAGCAGTACTACATTGGTGATGTCCATCCGGTAAGAACTGTCGTATAACTCAGTCACTTATGCAGAGAAAAACTATTGGACAGCCACTAACAGGATGAGAGAATGAATTATTTAGAGTAGAAATTCATTCAACCTAGCCTCAAGCCTGGTTTTCTCCAGAATCATCAAGCTCCTGTGTAGCAATAGTATCAGAAAAGCCAAGGGAACTGGTTTTTGTCTTCTATTGACTGATTTTTGTAATTACTAACACCTGTTCCTAAGACAGCGGTTTGGTTATTAACTATGGATTGTAAGTCCTTCTGTGCTTCACATTCTAATAGGGGATCCTGATATGCTAAAGGGTGGAGCTGGGCCCCTTCTTCAGACCCTGAAATCTCTGAAGAATAGGAACTAACACATTGCTGGAGTTCATTTAGATCCATCTTCAACATTGTTCTCTCTCTCTCTCTTTTTAAACAGAGTGACCTTAAACCTAAAGGTAGTAACAAGGTAAGAAGTCATTACTTTGTCTTATGAGTTTCAAGTATTTCTTCCTTTCTCTTTTTAAAAAAAATATTTGTTTGTTTATGTATTTATTCATTCGTTTATTTATTCATTTATTCATTGATTGATTGATTGATTGATTGAGAAAGGGTTTCTCTGTGTAGCTTTGGCTGTCCTGGATCTCGCTCTGTAGACCAGGTTGGCCTCGAACTCACAGAGATACACCGGTCTCTGCCTCCTGAGTCCCGGGATTAAAGGCGTGCATCACAACTGCGTGGCTTTTAAAAATAATTTAAATAAGAGAAGTAGAAATGGGCTGTAGAGATGGCTCAGTGGTTAAGAACACTGGTTGCCCTTCCAGAGGACCCAGATTCAAGTCTCAGCATCTACATGGTATAGTTCATAACTGTCTATAACTTCAGTCCTAGGGGATCCAGTGTCCTCTTCTGGCTTCTGCTGACATTGCATGCATGTGATGAACAAATGATATTCATGTAGGCAGAACACCCATACACATAAAATAAAAATAAAGGCTAAAAAAAAAGAGAGAGAGCTGGAGTATGGTGGTATATGCTTTGAATCCCAGCACTCGGGGAGGCAGAGGCAGGTGGATCTCTGTGAGTTCAAGTTTACTTTTATCCAAACCAAAATTCTATTTTTAAGGAATTTGGACTTTATACCTATCAGGACAAAAGAATAGCTAAATCTTAAACAGAAGGAAACATTTTAACATTTTGGTTGTGAGCTTAGCCTTAGGAAGCATTTTGTTAATGCTTTGTATGCTTTATTATTGAGACTCCAAAGTGTGTGTGTGTGTGTATGTGTATATATATATACTTTTTTTTTTTTTTTTTTTTTGAGACAGGGTTTCTCTGTGTAGCTTTGGAGCCTGTCCTGGAACTCACTCTGTAGCCCAGGCTGGCCTCAAACTCACAGAGATCCGCCTGCCTCTGCCTCCTGAGTGCTGGGATTAAAGGCATGCGCCACCACCGCCCGGCGAGACTCCGAAGTCTATTTATTGTGGTTTTGAAAGAAATTAGGTTATGGGTTCAGTTTGGGAGAAAATCTTATTCTTACTTATATAAAACATGATAAATGCTCTGATTAAATTTTTTCTGCAAGATATCTTCTTTATCTATAAACTAGAGGTCTTTTTTTCTGTCTCTATTTCCTCAAATTAATTTTTTTAATCCTGTATGCTCAAATTGTCCCATGCCCTTCCCAGTTTGCTCACTGATGCAGCCAAAACAAAAGATGCAGTATTTGAGTATTTGAAAACCTTAATGTGCTTTGCCTTATGTACCAAGAAGAAAGCTTAGAAACCTTTTCTGCCTCCCACAAGCAGGGTGGTGTCATTGCCCATGTTTTCTTCGCTTTCCTGTGACTTCTGTCCTTTAGAAGGTTATTACGCTGCCCTCTGACCTCCAGGGAGAGCAGTCAAGGTGTTCCCTAGCTCCTGGTGCACACAATAGAGACTCCCTCATTCCTCCTTCTAGATTCTCATTCATCATTGAGCTAGGAAATAATGAACAGGTTTGGCACAGCAATTTGAACTGGACTTGGCACAAGAATTCTTTCAATTCAAGAGATTGCTTGCTTGGCAGTGTCTACCTTCTGTTGCTCTGGAATCTAGGTGTTTTTATACATTAACTCTTCTGTCTTGCTCCTGTGCTACTCTGAACTGTTAAATTACAAAGGCAGATGAAATGCTCTTAAACATTTGTAAGCACTGGTGGTTGCCTTTGTCTTTCCCTCCTCATGCCTTACCCATTCTTCTCTCCTCTTGGGACATTAGGGTAAAATTTGAGCTAATTGTGGCCTCAATTGAACATGTTCAGAAAATGCCACTCTCGGTTCATTTCATTCAAAGGATACTATATTTTTTTGAAGAAACACCTTGAATTTAGCAATCATAAAAGCACTCTTTTTTTTTTTTTTTTGAGACAGGGATTCTCTGTGTAGCTTTGGAGCCTGTCCTGGATCTCGTTCTGTACACCAGGCTGGCCTCGAACTCACAGAGATCCGCCTGGCTCTGCCTCCTGAGTGCTGGGATTAAAGGTGTGCGCCACCACCGCCCAGCGAAATCACTCTTTATGTTAAAAAGTAGAAACATATTTATGTAGTTACTGTGTCTAGAAATCTATCAATTGTTTCTTGTTGCTAGTTTTCTTTCTTGGTAATAATAAAAAACAAACAAACAAACAGGAGGCCGTTAGGAACCTTTGTGGGGAGTGGACAGCAGTGTTCTAGAAATTCTGTTGCTTGCATCAACCTAAATTGGGATCCCCTGGAATGAACATGAAAATACAAATCAAAACCGGGCGGTGGTGGCGCACGCCTTTAATCCAGCACTCGGGAGGCAGAGCCAGGCGGATCTCTGTGAGTTTGAGGCCAGCCTGGACTACCAAGTGAGTTCCAGGAAAGGCGCAAAGCTACACAGAGAGACCCTGTCTCGGAAAAAAAAAAAAAAAAAAAAAAAGAAAAGAAAAGAAAAGAAAAAGAAAGAAAGAAAATGCAAATCAAGTGTTCATTTCCTGGTCTTTGACTATTCCTGTTCAGAATCTGTGCAGTTGCTGGATTTGTATTTTGACTAGCCTAGGTGATAGGAAGGAAGCCAGGCACCACACTTTCTGCTGAATGCTGTGCCTGTCATTGCTTTTGAAAAGAGATTGATTAGCTGACATCAAACTGATAGGCCTTGGACTTTTTGTTGTTGATGTTCCATGCAAGAAGTATAGAAAAAGCCTCTGCCGGGCGGTGGTGACGCACAACTTTAATCCCAGCACTAGGGAGGCAGAGCCGGTGTATCTCTGTGAGTTCGAGGCCAGCCTGGTCTACAGAACGAGATCCAGGACAGGCTCCAAAGCTACACAGAGAAACCCTGTCTCAAAAAACCAAAAAAAAAAAAGAAAAAAGAAAAAAGAAAAAGAAGAGAAAGAAAAAAGTAAAAGCCTCCTCGGCTTGCCAAGTGTTCTGATAATTTAGAACTACAACTGTAGTGTAGCCCCATCCTAGGTTAGGGAGGGACTGAAAGCTGGGCTTTCAAGCCTGTTCTTCTACAACTCCTTGTTCCCAGGGGATCTGTCTCCATTAGGATGATTCTGGCTGTTTGTTTCCAGTCAGGCTGTCTGTTATTCTTCAGGCAAATTAGGCAAAGAAAGCCTTTTGGAAAAATTTCAAGAATACCTACCAGGTTTTCATAGAATTATATTCCGAACTGATTTTCTTTTCCAGAAAGAAATTCTTGATCCCTCAGTTTATTTCTGTGCTTGATGTTACCAAAAAGGCTGAGAAGCAATCTGGTTTCTCACAGGTTGAAACTTCTATCCTAGGATATAGGTATCTCTTTCCTTCACTTTTTTATCTCTGGTTTAACATTCACCATCAAGAAGTGGGAGGAAAGCTCATTTTATTAATTCGTTTCTTTTCTTGTGATTCAGGGTTTCTGAATCTGTAAGAAATGATTTTTTTAAGCTTCATTAAGCAGAGCCTTAAGCTTTATAGGGTGGGGTTTAGTTTACATTCTCCGTTTCCTTCTGTGGCATCACTTCTCTCCGCCTTCATAGAGCCGCTCCGCTCTTCCCGTGGAGTGGGGGAGCAAGACAGAAGCAGACATGCTCACTGTCTCTGTTTGGGAGTGTAAGTCAGTTTCCATGCCCACGTCTTCGTCGTTTGCTTGTTAGTCAAGGTCTGTCATATCTGCTAAGGATGACCTTGACCTTCTCACCTTCCTGCCTTCCTTCTGGAGTCACTGTGCCCAGTCTTAGTTTCCCAATTCTTTTAGAAGCAGCTTTTCATGTTACTTTTACTATGGCACAGGTAAATAAGTGGTCATGGTCACTATTGTTTATTTGTAGATTCATAATACTCTCGTTGATAGCCTAGATATACTACGATATAAAAATTTTAAAGATTTGTAATTTATAAATCTGACAACAGATATCACAGTTTCGTTTTTGTTTTTGAGATCTGGAACTCAAAGAGATCTGCCGGCCTCTGCCTCCCTAGTTGTGAGATAAAAGGTATGCCATGATGCCTGGATTTAGTCAGTAATAACTATTTAGAATTAAAAAACATTGGTGGTGGCGCATACCTTTAATCCCAGCACCAGGAGGCAGAGGCAGGTGGATCTCCGTGAGTTTAAAGACAGCCTGGTCTACAAACTGAGTTCCAGGACAGTCAGGGCTATGCAGAGAAACCCTGTCTGGAAAAACAAACAAACAAACAAACAAAACAGACAGAATTTGTGCTTTGGGATATGGTGATGCCAAAGGTCACATGGTGAGACTCTTGTCTTCAAAAAGAAAAAAGAAAATACTTTGTCTTGATAATTGGGGTGACGAGAGTCAGTACTTCAAACCCTCCCTAGCCACGCAGCAGGTGTGGCTACAGGAGAGCCTGTTTCAGAAAAACTCTTTACTGTTCTGTAGGAACAAGGAGTAACTGCTGTGATCAAGGGCTTCTACTGGGCTATGACGTTGCTCCCTGTAGTTTGTCAGACACTTATGGTCCTTGGAAATTGAGCGTAATATGTCATGGCCAGTCACTCTTGAAAAACAAAATACAGTTGTTTTCTGAGCAGTGCCAGAGATCAATGCCTTCTATGAAGTTCTAGAAATAAAATGAGGTATGAGAAGAGCCAGGCAATGTCCTTTTGTACTTTCCAAATAGAATTGGTGGGTCACACTTTTCCCCTTAGAGGTCCAAATAAGGGCGATACCTGGAATGGTCTCAAACTCACCATATAGCAGATGATGACCTTGAATTTGTCATCCTCTCCATCACCTCCTAAGTTCTGGGATCATTTGTGTGGGCCACCACATCTTGTTAATATGGTATTGATCAAATCCAGGGCTTCATGTGCGCTAGGCAGTTGTCACTGTACCAGCTGAACAGTGCCCCAGCCTTTTCTAGTGATGTGCTATGTGTCCTGTCGCAGCGGGCTCTTTTTTTTTTGAGACAGTTTCTCAGTATGGATCCTATAGTAAGTTCTCAAGAGAATCTAG